GCCACCACCACCACCTCCACCCCCATCCCCATCATTACCACCACCTCCACTTCCCACATCGCCGCCACCCCCACCACCTCCACCACCTCCATCTCTACCAGCCTCACCATCGTATTCACGGTCATCATCACCATCCCCACAACCATTCTCACCACCACCACCGCTCGCACAACCATATTCACCATCATCACCACCGCTCGCACAACCATATTCACCATCATCACCACCGCTAGCACAACCATATTCACCCTCATCACCACCGCTATCCTCACCTTTATCACCACCGCCGTCGCCACTATCACCGCCACCACTATCACCGCCACCACTATCACCGCCACCACGTAAGCGTTCACGGACAGCTTATCACAAAGTCGTATATACAACTTTCCCCCGCTAAGCCATTCTTTCAGAGAACCATGTTCCGAGGAGAGAAACGGCAATGTCTCGAACTTCATCCTACACCACACTCGTCTGCAGTGGTACAACGACACAAAGCGCTCGACCCACATGTTGCAACAGCACCAGCATTTATTCCACTTCGCTAGACATGTTACGATTCAACGTACCAGCCCTCTGTCACAACAGCAGCAACATTTCCAACCAGTTTGACACGTTTTCAATCGACGTTCCAGCCGTGTTTTATACGACAACGTCACCCCGTCAAGTCATTTGGAACACCAGAGCCAATATTTCCGATCAGATTCAGAGCCACATCTTTGGTGCACTCAACGCCAATGTCATTATCTGTTCAGGTGCGACCAACACCATCCACAATCTGAAGAAAGAACGCCACCTCACGATTTGAAACAACGGTCATTACCGTTCATGTAAATTGTTATTTCCGCACAGTCTGTTCCTACACATGTTGAGCCATTGACGCAACCACTGGACACAACGCTGGGCCCTTGTATAGTGGAACCATCCTCATAACTAAATTGTCGAAACAACAATTCTTGTCATTAGGTTAGGCTAACTGAAAAGCCCAAAAAAAAATCCTTATTGTAACTGGAATCATCACTGTAGGCTTACATGTAATTCCTAGCACTTGGCGTTTGCCCTCTGCAGTCCCTTTGACAGCCATAAGATCAACGCTGTTTAAAATTAACTATTCTGCATCCATGAAAGTAATTGTTTCGAAACACCGTCCCCATGGGAATAAGAATAAGTGAATTAAAAAATAAAGTTCTGTCTTCGGAATAAAGTTTTTTTAAATTTTAAGTTAAAGAGCCATCAACCCACACCACTCACTAAACTCAGTGCCTAAACCGTTTTCCTTTTCACTCTTCAGATGATCTGAGAGAGAATACCCAAGCTTCTTTAGTGGCAACGTGGAGCAGCACTCAACAGATATTGTGCCATGAGGAGGTGGCAGTCTGACGTCATAAAAAAGCACAGCACTGACAAAATTAAGACATTTAAGGAAAAAACAACTTCTCGGAGAGTTGATCCAGTGGACTTTCTCTTGCTACTGGGGAATAATGTCTGTCCCAGAACTTGGGTGGTTTGTACATGTTCTGGCATGACTTTTTTCTTTTCTTCTTCCTCTTTTTTTTGTTTGTTTGAAAGTGCTCCCTCCTTTCAAAATGTGACTGTAGTCATTGTCAAAACATCAAATTTCCAGAGCATACCAAAGACTTTAGAGTGACATCAAAACTACAAATACAGAAATGTGGCGGTGGAAAGGGGAAAACATCGGGAACCGTATGAAATGAAACGTATAAAACAATCCACATTCCCTCCCCTCTCTCCTGTCAGGCATGCAGTATGCAGGCAAGCCCGCACACAGTAGCCCCCATAAAAAGCATTTCTCATGTATTAGATTAAAGAAGAATACCGCCTAGGCAATTAATTCTCCTATCATACCCTGCCTCCTCTTCCATTTCATCTTTATTTGAGTAGAGACATTTAGAACATTGGTAGGAAACCTGAGTCAAGACTGGGAAAGGTTCATTGTAGCCCTTAGCAAAAGGGGATAAAAATGTGTTACTTTAGTCTCTGAAATCATCTTATTTGTTGGATACCACTTTGAATCGTAACTAAATTTGAGTACATAAATGTACCATCTTTGCGTGTAATTAAGTGTAAGCGTGAGGAGCTTGAAAGGGTAAGCGTTTGCAAGCACTTTTTTTCAATCACAAAAGTTTACTCTCTTGCATTTTATACTTTTATGTTGTCTTTCTTGACAATGTCAATGATTTGTGTCGTTTTTCTCTTGCTTTCTAATTTTAAAAAACGTTGTACATTAATATATTATTTTCACTTTTTAAAAGGACAAACAATTCTAAAGAATTTGACGTTAAACTTTTTAACAATTACATGTAAAAGTATAAACATGACATTAATGCTTTACACATCTTACATAATAATATGAAATAGAAAGGGAGATTTTTCAAATTCCTTCAAATTCAGAATATTAATAATATTTTTATGAAAAATGATTAAATTTTCTGGAACTGAGATTCTAGGCCTTCAAATTCAAAGTTTTACTTATTGGCATCATGATGTACGAGCTTACTTCTCGCATTCATTGGGTATTGCTGTCCTTTGTGTAAATACTACAAATAGTGTGTATTAAAACATTAGTAAAGGAATTCCTCGGAGAGATATAAAATGCAATAGAATTCAATTACTCGTACAATATATTTCGCTCAGTGGTATTAATTCATTTTTAGTGTTGCGTTGCAAAACATGTATTTATGAGAATAATGAATGATTAAAAAAGTATTGTCAATACAATTTTTAAGAACACGTTTTTTTAACGGATTTTCTCAATTTCCCCCAATTGTTTAAAAATAAATAAAATGTGTACCCAAAAAAATTGATCTATGGTAACCAACACATTACTGTGTAAGCTGTTGTAGGCCAAACAACTCATGGCTGCGTACTCAGTGTTTTTGATCCCCTTTCCAAATACGCCAATTCTAGTTACACTGGTTTTTTTTTACTTGTTTCCTTTCCATCAGAGGACTTTCATGACTACCAGCATCTGTGGTTACGACTACTAGTGTCTGTGGTGTAATGTTTGTGCTCTTTGTTATTACAAACACAAGATATGCGTTCGACTTCCCTGGTGAAGTACATGTATTATTAAGTCTCTCCGGCTGTCTGCTGTATTTTACTGTGGCTTTATGCACCCCCACATAATTTAGCAAAATTTTATCATTTTTGCATAATTTCTATTTTCCTTTATCATTCTTTGTTAAAATTAACAGAATCGCATAATTTCACATTATTTGGGCTCAGTTTGCATAATTTCATAATTGTTTTTGTGTGCATAAAACCACGGGGACAGATCTCACTGTGCCCTTGAAGGCAGGGTTGAAGCAGCCAATTTACACTGTGTCAATGGGGTTCTAAAACATAATTATTTTGTTACATTCACATGACTTCACAAAGTCTTCTGGCTAATACATTTTACACCACCTGTCTTCCTGGGGTCTCAAGCATGGCAGCCTGTTTGTTTGGCATCCAGATGCTATCATTGACTAATTTCTGTCCCTGGTGACAGCAGGGAAGTAAGTTGAAATACCAATTCGGACATGGTTAGTGACGAAATCCATGATCTTAAGATCGTGATTTATTTTAGTTTCTGAGGATTTGTCCTCTTGCATGCCCCGAAATCATGCGGAGAAGGGAGACGATCCTCTAAAAATATCATGTTTTTAAAAAAAATTCATTAATCTTTTATTTTTTAAAAACAAAATGATCAGGAAAAAATGCAAATGTTAGGAAAAGAATATTGTTTGCAATGGGCCAGTTTCTGTGGTGGTACAGTATGGGCAAGTCATTTGTTTCTCCCATTATAGTTGTAACTATCAGGTTTTCACTCGTTACCCATCTATTTCATCAAATCAAAAGATAGCCAGTCCCTCTAGTGACTTAAAAATTCGTTGGCGGAGTGATGAAATCCCGTAACCCGCAATATTTTCGAAATTCGTTATTTTGTGGTTTACTGTCTTCTCCCACATTGTGTCAAAAGCAGAAGATTAAATTAGAAAGAGAAATTATGAAAGAAAAACTTACTATTGTGAACCGGCTTAATTGAAGCTCATAACTGACATTGTCTGGTGCATTTACCTCGTATATACCTGATTGAATAAAGAAATATTTCATTCATTCATTCTTTTATTCATTCACTTTATATCAGTCAGTTCAGAAATGCAAATATGGTCATAAGTGAAGGAATTACATTATGTTAATCTATTTGAAATCCTGTTATAGGGATGACTATCGCGTTGGTAAACAAGATGTTCTCATCAAGCACAAAGTTAACTCATAATTTAAGGCGACAGTCATACTGAACTTGAAATGACAGGTGACAATAGTCCTTACTATTAACTAAGTCTAGGTGACAAGAACAATGCACTCTCCAGATGTCAACATGCCTTTTTTTTTTTAAATCAAAGAGTGGATACGGTTTCATACCTTCTCGGACTATGAATCCGCTGAGTAGTCGAATCCTCCAGTTGTGGTTGAGACCAAACTGAACTTAACCATGTACTTGATGACCCTGAAGTCTTTAGAGGACATTGTGACAAATTTGCGCCCCAACAACACAAGTAATACGGACATTTTAATTTCCGTCTGATTTGAATATTTCCTTCCAACTGTGCTTATCACCTAGATCTTTACACCCTCCAAGGGCTGGTTTGGAAACCACTGGGCAGACCACGTTCCACGAATTGACCCCAGCCACCATGTTGCAATCCTTTCCAGGGCTGTCCCTGAGTGATAATAATATGTGGGGTCAAGGAAGTATCAGCATCATCCCAGACTGAAGGCTCAATCCGAGTGGATCCGGGCGTTTCTCGTCTGTGGAACATCTTATCGGGAGAATTTTTTCACTATGAAAATAACTAGAGCGCACGGAGTGCGTACGATTCGTTTCCACAAGTTTCCAATGTGTTGTCCCTTCACGGGGACCAACTAAGTGCAGCGCTTAGATTTGATCCGTGATTCGGCAAAACCTCCAGGCGGGAGGGATTTTAGAGACACATTTTTTCTCAAATCTCAATTTTGATTACAGATTTGATATCAGCGTGCAAAATGACACTAGTTTAATACCAAACACACAAAAACATATCATTATCTACGTCGTTGATAAATATGTACCCAGTAGAGCCTGCAATTCTGCCTTCTTCTCCTCATCCAATATAGGAGCATCAAAGTTATTACGTTCATAATACATGTAATACAAGTAAGACGCTCAGACGCTGTTATGATCATCTAGATCTACATCTAGGCCAGCATAGCATGCCCCAACCCCGACCTACTAACATACCTTCAACTAGATGACGTAAGCTAAAAATATCACCCCAAAATGCCTATCGGGGAAAAAAACGAGAGAGAACGAAGCAACACCGCGCGTGGTCTCGTTCCGACTTGGAACCGTTCTCGGATGGGAAATCTCGTCCGAGAAACGCTCAGATCCACTCGGTGGGCACCCTGAGTCGGCACCAACACCAGTGTCGCCTGGAATCACGCCCCACACCATACTGACGTTTCACCAGGCAGCTGTGGGTCAGCTGCTGAATTATTAACCACGAGGTCACAGCAACACGATCTGTAGACCACATTCCTAGGTCCATTTCACATTCTGGCACCTTAGCCATTTTTCCACTTTTACTGGAGCCTGATTCCGAGACACACCTCATTTGTGATGCCAGCATGAATGATATCCACAGAGGAAAAGAAAGGGTTTTCAGAAGTGGCAACAAATAAGCGAAAAGCTACCCGTGGATCTGGACAGGAATACCATAACGATTCAATGAAAAGCCCAACTAAGTTATTGAAACCAAACTATGATACTGTGATTGCAAGAGCTGAAGGGTTCTCTGAAGAAGACAGACATTCTAATTTTGTTTTATCATGGGATGACTCGAGGACTTAGACAAACCTCAGAGGAAGTATTCAGAGAATATTCAGAGAGGGAATACCTTCAATACATGTACACACTTTAAAAAGGTGGCCATAAGGTGCCTGTGTTAAAAGATGTTCCTGAATTGAACTGGGTTGGGTGAAAGATTTGTAAGAAACATTTAGAACCAATTATCAAAGCAACTCAAATATCTACAAAATATATGCACAATTCCGCGAAGACCATGAGAGGCAGTTTCTCAACAGACCCGCCTTCAATGAAGCACCCAGGAAGAATAACTTGTCGCTGTTAATGCCAAAGAAAGAAATGTGCAATCTTTGCATCAGCCGTAAAGTTGTCAATGTGCCGCAAGACGTTTGGAATGCTCACATTCTAGAAAAGGATGCAGCGCTCATGGAAAAGGAACGAGACAAATCTGAAGCCATCAAATGTCTCGCCAGGGATCAACCTAAAATGGCTATACTTTCCGTGGATCTTCAGCATCAGCCCTATATTACAAAACAAAGCTCGCCGTTCTTAACTTATCGCTTTTTGATGCTGCAACAAGCCAGACTATTTGTTACGTGGGGCTTGAAGCAGAAGGGGGGCTTATGGCAAATGAGTTTGCTTCATGTCTATTGGATTTACTGAAGGAAAAACTGGAGATCCAGAAAACCATCACAGCGACGGCTGTGGTAACCAATACAGAAATGCCACACTAGCCAATGTTTCTCTCAGCCTGTCTGCAAACAACACATGGTAGCACAATTGAGCAGAAATATAACATTTTATCAAAGTACACAAACAAATGGAAGTTGACAGTGTGAACAACTCAACAATTGAGAGATCACTTCGAAAAGCACGCATCGAGGTCCTTCTAGACTACCTCCATTTCTCCAGGATGACAAGAGCAAAACCAGAAATCTATCAAAACAAATATTTGGATGACACATTCTTCAAGGATTATTTTAAGTGTGGAAGCTACAACAAGTCTATCAGACCAGGTAGAAAAACGGGTGATCCTGTTGTCAGGTGTTTGAAGTACACCCCAATTCAAGTTGCACACCAGTGATGAATGGGCTGACACTCCGAAGGCAGGACACAGAAACATGACGTCCATCCTACCACACCACTCTACAGAGAACGTTCTAAGACCCAGCACTCCAACTACAATCACCTACAGGAGCTTAAGTCTGTTATTGTCAAAATACAGCATCACTTTATGATGACAATTTACACCATTAACATTTATGGCTATTCATTATGATTCAACATCTTTTGTGAAAACCATCTGCCTTGCAACCAGAGACCATTTTGCAGATACATTTTGTTCATTTGTGCTTTTTAGTAAAATGGAAGCAGCCAGATTTAATCTTGACACATTATATTGAAACAAAATGCTCTACTCGCTAATTCGTTCGAGGATTCAAACCCATATTCTGCAGATTAAAAAACATTTAGTTGACTTCAGTAGGCTGGGAATCGAACTCCAAACGCATTGTTCTTGAAAAAATTTTTTTTTTATCAGTTCCGGTTTGAGGCGTTCCAAACAACAGACGCATACTGCAACCAAATGAATTGCGAGAAAACTCGCAACCCCCAAACTCTCTCCTGATAAAACCTCGCAACCCTCCCGCCGACAACTACGTGGTTTCATCCCGTCAAAAATATTGTAATGAAACTTGGCATCCCATGACACAACCATTTGAACAGTAGAACAGTTATTTTTATGCACCAACCACTTTTCTAAGGCGTTTTCTTTTATCTGTGCCAACTTTGGTTCAGAGAGATGATTTTATTCAAGACTAAATCCGTTTTTTTTGTCTCTCCTGTAACATTTTCCTTTCTGGGGTTGCCAGGTTCCATCATTCCACCAGCGTATTACGGTAGACCGAGAAATGAGCTTGGTTGAGATCGCTTCAAGGTTTCCTTGGATTTGTTCAAGTTTCAACTCCATTCCACCCTCCATTTCATGTGTATTTACTTTAAAAATTCACTCTATTTCTGTGTCAATTTCGACCATTCTAAACCTCAGAGAAAGAAAAACGAACCTACTTTCGCTTAATTAAATAGTCTTGTTTTCAGTCAATTGTGGTGTCGGTGGCCTAGCGGGTTCGGGGGTTCGAGCTGCAGGCCCGACGTTGTGTCCTTGGGAAAGGCACTTTACACGAATTTTCCCCACTTCACCAAGGTGAAAATGGGTACCCAGCTATAGACAGTGAAAGATCTTATCAGTTTGTCAGTGTTTGAGCGCAAAACCAGCTGCTTGCACTGTATGCTTCCCGAGAAGCTGAGAATGTTTCTGAGTGTTCTATGGTCTGCTGGGGTAATAATGTAGTGCAAAGCGCATAGAGCTTGCTTTCGAGTGGGGATATGCGCTATACAAATGCTATTTATTATTATTTATTATTCTAGTTCTTCCTTGGCCGCATAGAAAATACACACCATCTCAGTGTTGTGCATTTGCGATTGAAATGCAGCTCAATGCTGCTCTAGGTGTTGTATGGTTGCTTTAAAGGACAAGCGGGCTAACCCAGATTTTGGGGTTCCAGAAATCTTGACCTACACCAAAAGTGGGTATTGCCCTACCTATAGGAGACGTTTGGTTTCATTGGTGTGTATATTTGTTTGGTTATAGAGAAAACTCTCTTTGCTTTTTAATGAAACTGAACAAGGGGCAAAAACTTTACCTTAGATTTTCTCAAAACAACATTTTTCGGGACAGCCCACTTGTCCTTAAAAGTAAAAGTAAAAGCGAACATGTGGACAGTCAAGTTTCAAACAGTGAAGTACGTTTTTAATTGATCTGTGGCCTTAAGCTTTGAGCTTTTCTATTAAGGTACGCTGCTCAACCGTGTCTTAGAGATCATATTTAATTAATACATCCTATCAGCAAATGCCTTCATATACAACTTATATATAATAGTTTGAGAACCTCATGGGGAAGAATTTTGTTTTCTATTAAATTATTGAGAAAACACAAATTCTGCTCTGCTCTTGCATTAAAAATGGGTCGCTCGTTTAAAAAAAGCAAACAATCTAGCAAAGTAAGCACCTTACCTCTCATATAATAAACCCTCAATGACAATGAGCTGGCTGAAAAAATGATAGACAAAAGGGAACTCCATAGCTGTCCCTGTGGCTTTATGCACCCCGCATAATTTAGCAAAATTTGATCATTTTTAGCATAATTTCTGATTATTTTCCATTATCATTCTTTGTCAAAATTAACAGAATCACATAATTTCACATTTTTGGGCTCAGTTTACATAATTTCAGAATTTTTCTTGCATAAAGCGATGGGGACAGCCATAGAATAGAGATGAATGTACAAGGGAACAAACAATGGCAGATTGATTTAGAATCATCAGTAACATTTATTCACATGAACAAGAGTCAACAAGTAAAATTTGATCATTTAAGGTTCCAAGCACACACTGTAAAATTTTAACTAAAAGACCAGAATCATGTTTTTGCTATTCCTGAATCTTTAGTATAATATGCAAAATTCTATGCTGGAGAAGGGAAAAAAACCCTCTATTCATAAGTTCTTTCTTATGGCACTCCCATAAAAGAATGTGCATAATCTGTGAAAAATCCACTCACAGTACTAAAGATACAAAAAAGCAATAGTGCAGGATCAGTAACCTGAGAGGCATACTTTCTGTTCCTGATTACATTATTCATCTGGATTCCTGCTAAAAAAAAGGATGAAAAGGAGGAACTCCTATCTTTTTTTGGCCAACATTGTATATTGTCACAAATAATTGAAATTATGATACATAAGAAGCAATATATTGTGACTTGACTAAAAAGGTCCCTACACATGCACGTTTGAACCGGGCGGTTTTAACCTGTGTGGAAACTGGCGTTCTAACCGTCGCACAAAACCGCCATTCGATGGGTCGGCGCGTCATCCTCAGCATGCATGGTTTATTTGCAGCGAGTGTACTGACAATAACGATCTCCTTGTAATTTATGTGCTGCTCATGGGGAAGAATTTTGTTTTCTATTTAATTATTGAGAAAACACAAATTCTGCTCTGCTCTTGCATTAAAAATGGGGCGCTCGTTTAAAAAATGTAATCAGATTTTATGTGCCGTAAATCATTTTGAAAATATTAGCAGTGACAAGATAAGCCGGCTAAGCCCGCGATGTCACACAAAGGCTGTTGTCTACGGAACGCGCTGAACTGTATTAAGAAAATCCACATGTTGAAACCACCAGTTCGACCTCCCGGTTTAACTTTTTTCTAGCAGTTTTTCATCCACATGTGGATCTGCTGCCATGTTTGCCTTTCCATTCCGAACTGCCAATTTGGAACGTATATGTGTAGGGGACTTAAGAGAGTACAATGTACAATATTTCATCTCTTCTGTAGCTTCTGGAAAATCAAAATTTTATATACTACTACAGAATGAATTGTAGTAGTATGCATTGACACGGCGAGCATCTTTATTTAATAATGAATTACACACATAAACAATTTTGGGGAACAGTGGGGGGGAGGGGACGCTATTTACAGAAGAAAAAATCCCATTCTAGGCCGCAGTGTTTATAGTGGCGGCGGGTTTCGAGAAATCGCACGCCCTGTCTGAACAGTGCGAGTAATATGACACTCTTACATGTAAGTGTAGATAGTGAACATGCTTGTGTAGGCGCTGCTAATTTGCCGCTTGGCGGGTAAAGTTACCAGAAATAATTTTTAGGTCTTAACGCGCGTCTCGTGCTGGGGTGTGTAGTTGATCACCAACTTTTGCTCCTGTGTGATCACTGTAGCAACGGGGCTAGTTGTAATTCGTGCCACACTCTAGGTAGAAGATTCTACCTTCTTCAAAATGTAGTCAAATGTACTAAGATTCATTCGTGTATAGGAATGAAATCTCTCTGGGTAAACCATCGATTGGTGGAAAAGGTGGTGGTATTCACAGTCAGTGGGACTTTATTTGTTTATCTCATGGACGCTACTTGTCCTCCTTCTTCCAATGCTCAGTAGAAGAAACCTCATGAAACATTAAAAAGTCTTCTTCAAATGAGGAAGCCATACTGTCTATGGTATAGCATGTACAGTGCAACAATCCTTACAAACATAGACGAATGTATCTCAAAGTGAATGGCGAAAATATTAATAACACAAGATATGCCGTTGACACAGCGTTAATAGCAGACTCAGAAAAGGACCTTCTAGATACTGTTGTAACGGAAAGTGAACATAAATGATTTTTGTTGAATATAAAGAAAACAGAATGCATGGTAATATTTTAAAAAAGCAGCAAATCTTATTTATAATCTCATTAGCAAAGGCAAAAAGATCAAAGTAAGTCTAACAGTTTAAATATCTAGGAAAATAACATCTGATGCCAAATATTCCACAGAAATAAAACGGAGAATTGCAATGGCTAAGGCTAGTTTCAATAAAATGAGCCCAATCCTGAAAAATAGAAACATCTCAATGACAACCAAAATGAAAGTTCTGAAATGCTATGTATGGTCAACCCTTCTATATATGGCTGTGAACTCTGGACAATCACTAAAGACAGTGAAAATAAAATACAAGCAACAGAAATGTGGTGTCTTAGGAGACTGCTGAGAATATCGTGGAAGGAAAAGAAATCAAATGAGCTAGTGCTAGTGCTTGATGAAGCACATGTGGGGCACTCACTGTTAAAAACAATCAGGAAACGACAAATGGAGTTTTTGGGACACCAAAATAGAAATAAAGGTCTTGAACATCTAGTTCTCACTGGCAAAATTGAAGGCAAACGAGGCTGGGTAGGCCCAGAGCAACCTGCTTCGGGAACCTAACAAATGGGCAACAGGGAAAGATCAGGGCAACGTAGCTTTTTTAAGAGCATCTGAGTGAAGGAATGAATGGAGAACCATGATCGCCAATGCCTACCGCACATCTGACACTGGATGTAGCGGTACCACGATTGTGCTGTTCCTACTTTGTTATGTACACAAACTCGGCTAGTAATTAGGCACAAGTTTTCCAGCGCGATTAACCCTCATGCGGTAACCCACCACCCCTACAAACGAACCCTTACTCAGTCCCTGAGCATTTCAGATGCATTTTACTCCTCATTCACACTATCGCTATAGATGATTGGAACCGGTAGGCACTTTCATATCTTCTCCTCCTTCAGATTTGTAGATTCAGTTTCATGCCATGCTGAACAGGAGAAGTGTCTTGTGTTCTTTCATATCCTATGTATCAGCCTTCATTCACTGTCACGACTTTGCGGTGATGGCATTAAAGATTAGTCTGACACATTGGCAAATGGCTTGTGCTTGATCCTGTTGGTGAAAACAAAAATATGAATATTTTATGTCATATCATTGAGTATAACGAAATGCAACATTCATCTTTTTATGCAATGACTTCACAGAAATTTAGACTGTGACAGAGTTGACTGATGGGTTTGATGAGTAAAAGCAAAGACCAACAACTATTTGGCTCTTTATTACAAAGAGCTGGGGGCAGTAAAGACGCAAAAACAGAACACAAAACACCCACATAAACCAACATACCAGAAAAATGCTCAGGCAATGGTTAACAATGGCAAAATAAATTCCCCCTTAATTATAATAATAATAATAAATTACACTTTTATTTGTCCCAGAAGGGCACTTTGTTTTACAATGGCAAACATACATACATAAATACATAATTATAAATACGTACATACACAAATACATACATGCATAAATACATACATAAATACACACTGTTACACAAATACAGAACAGTTTACAAACAATGCCACTGCCGGTCGCCACTGTGCAGCGCCCTGTAGTTTGAGCTAGGGTTGTCGTGTCTTGCTCAAGGACACACTCCAGTGACCACCCATCTGATCCCCGTGTCACCGACACTTGCTTGACATTGCTTGAGTCAAAACTCACTACTCACTTAGCCACTGGAGCCCCCATATGCAGTGATACTAACAAAACAGTTAAAGGCAAAGATTCTCTCAATGTCCAAAATCAGCGCATTGTTACAAGTTTTCATTGATCAGTGAGCTGCTTGGTCTTGGTAACAACAGAAATCAAAATCTGCAAGATGTTGCAAGACAGATGCTGCACTCTTGAGTTTAAAACAGCCAGTTCATTTCTCAGTATCAACTGTAGTCTATGCTAGTCGCACATGTTAGCCATGGCATCAAGCAAAAGTAAGTGTTGCCCATTTGGAACCAAAACAATTTTTAAGGAAGTCAAAACAGGGTCCCAAGAAGAAGACCAACATTTTTTGGGAACACAGCATAGCAACCTGTCACATTAACAATGGTCGTTCACATAGCATTATCAAAATCAGTCTCAAAAACTCAAATTTGTTAGATCTTGTTTTCCGAAACCTTGGAAACAGCAGAATTGAAAATAGAACCCAATGAATTTGTTCAATGCAGGTTCACTGTAATTGGTCTGTGATTATTACTCTTCAATAGCCTCAAGGAAGAAAAATATGAAAAAGCAAAAAATTTAGTTTCCATTTTCATAGAATCTTAGATGGATATCGATAGTAGAAATTAAGGGGACCTGCACATGTACGTTCTAACTGGGCGTCTTTAACCTGAGTGGAAACCGGCGTTCGAACCGCTGTGCAAAACCGCCATTCCACGGAGTCGGCGTCCCAGTTTAGTTTTTTTTCTAGCAGTTTTTCGTCTACGAATGTGGTTCTGTTTCCAGGTTTGGCTTTCCATTCTGAACCGGCAGTTTGGAATGTACATGTAGGGGGCCTAAGAAACAACTGAATCTGAAAGTCTGTTTAGGAGTGCTACATAATTATCTTCCACAGAAAGTATTCTTTCACTGAAAGGAAAAACAATTAGTTGTATCGAAACATGGATCTCCTTGTTGAAAATTTCCAGCATCATCTGGTATACAAAAGAAATAATAATATACAAAAATTTTGGAGACAAATAAATAGATGGATTTTGGGGAAAAAGAACTAAAAAGAAAAAAAAGAACAGAATAAAATTTCAGGACGACGCCAACAATCTGAGAGCCCCTACAACATACATAGTTTTATGACACTTGCAACACAAATAAGTCATATCAGTGCCAAAGATTAGAGGTGTTACTAGAGAGTAACATACAATATAACGCGGATAGGTCGAACACAGAAGACTTGAAATCACGCATCCGACGAACTGTCCCTGTGGTCCCATTTTTTCTTGTTCTTTATATTTGTAAGAAAATTATGCAAAGCTCGAACATACACATGGAATAGTCAACTAATTACGCCGCACTAGAGGTCTAAAGTCAATGCCCCTTTAGTTTTTAGGTGCACTTGAGACAAAATACTACTAATAATATAAAGCTCGAACATACACACGGAATAGTCAACTAATTACGCCGCACTAGAGGCCTAAAGTCAATGCCCCTTTAGTTTTTAGGTGCACTTGAGACAAAATACTACTAATAATATAAAGCTCGAACATACACACGGAATAGTCAACTAATTACGCCGCACTAGAGGTCTAAAGTCAATGCCCCTTTAGTTTTTAGGTGCACTTGAGACAAAATACCAATAATAATATAAAGAAAACCGGATAAAGGCAAGGTCGATAAAATACCACCTTCCTAACCTCCACAGAAGCAGCTAGCTGTGCTACTTTTAGCCCGGCTTGACATGCGCAAACTCTGGACACATGTGCCTAGGCTTAGCTAGGCTTGTGTGGAGTGGGCGAGAGGAAGGGTCGTACATCACATGATTGGTCACCCCACCTATCTTCGCAAAGTACTGTGCGCTTGGTGGGAGAGGCGGGGTAGGGCTGCATTGTTTCATCATTATGCTTATCCCGCCGTTTCAAATTTTTCAAAGCATAAACAATTTGATAGAATTGGTACAGACAAGAGACCGCTCACACTGACATGCGCTATTAAATTGTCTTGGTACTGGTACTCTCATTACCGATCGAACTCGAAAGCGTTGATCATCAATTGTGTTTCTCATTCCCAATCTGTCAAATTTTGTTGCTTCCCTTGATTCTCTGACACAGCCGATGCCATAACATTGTTCACACATCCCTTGAACTATGGATCTTTCGAACTACTGAGGCCTTTCCCGATGAATTTGAGCTATCCATGTTATACTGTACAAAGGAAAGAAGGAGGAGAGATAAGGACGATAGATGTTTGATGGTAAAGATGGGGCAAACCACACAGGCACCTGCCAACCACCCACTAGTAAGGCTATACAACATCAAAAAAGTAGTAAAGTGACCATGTTATAATCAGTCTCTGCATTCGTCATTTCCATGAGAGATAGCTTACCATCTAAAGAAGCAGAAAGGTTGCGATATCTCTCACAGCTTACCTCATTATGGCACTGAAACAAATAGCACTGGTATACACTTTTCCCAACTTGTCCGATCTTCACAGCAATGTTTTGTCTGTTAAATCCATCACTGTACTGAATCAGCTGGGCAATAGTGTGTAGAGGGTGTCTTTGCAAAACTTCCTGTAGGACAATACAGGAAATATTGCAAAAATCTTACAATATACAGAATGCTACCTTAAAAAATTCATCTTTGAATTTACTCTCATTCACTATCCCTTTGTTCTCATCAAGGCATTCACGATTCACAGCACCACTTTCACAAGTAATAGAGTACAAGGTCAAATAATTTTTTGTCTCTTTTTTTGAGGATATCTCCTTGCTGGAGATCAAATTATTTCAGATGTCTTGGTCAAAACTAGAAACAAGGTCAATGCTGTCAAAAAGACTATTCGAAGCTTGCACAAAATTTATGAGTGCATTTGATTTTTAAGGAAACTTCTCAGAAAGCAAGAATGGCGAAATCTCTTCCAATCCTCTTGCAAAGTCCATTACAGTTTTGAGGCCTGGGAAGACCTCCAAGACCAGCTATTTGGCATCTATTTCAAAGCAATGCAAATGGTAAACTGAAATCCATCTGCCATGAACAAAATAAAAAGGACTTGAAAATAAAGTTAATATATCATAACTCTCTAATGCTAAGTGACTCTACTGTCTCTACCAAGTTAACTTATAAATGGGACAGAACAAGTTTTTGTGGTTGTCTGAATGAGCTACAAAGTACAAGATCTATAAATTAACAAGCTATCCAAGATTACATATACTGAAGATTATATTTTTCCTAACAATATTTCCTCTCAGCCATATACTCTGTCACACAGAACAGTTCCTGTTACTTCAGAAATCATCTTTCTATCTTATTCTAGAAAGGTGTTGAATTCATACAAACAACCCCCCCTCCCCCCCAAACACATAAACATTAACAACAAAATAGAACCAGGAAAGAGAAAGTTACACAACTTACTTGGCCACTAACAACTTTGATTCCATATCTGGAAACAAATATGAGTACGCTGTTCTCTTCCTTGGCTGCTACTTCAAGTTTGCCATCAATCTGTAGTGTAGGAAAATGATTCTTAACACTAATCATAATTTTTTAAAATTAACAGTACTCTTAACTTTAACCATTCATTCTGAAAGGTATCTTCTTTAATAGAAAGCGCATTGAACTCAAAAAAGCCCTTCAAACCAGTAGAGAAAGAGAGAGAGAGAGAGAGAGAGAGAGAGAGAGAGAGAGAGAGAGAGAGAGAGAGAGAGAGAGAGAG